TAATAATAATATATCAATTAGTAATAAAAACAACAAAGTGCGGCAGTGTTTGGCCGCCGGGCCCTCGACGGGCGGGCCCGCTCTCACGCGCCCGTGCAATCGATCTCGACAATATCCTTGGGCACGTCGACGAACTGGTAGACGAGCCGCTGGCCGTCCACCTTGGCGAGAATACCGCGCTGGTAGTAATAGCGCAGCGCCCTGCCCATCGTCTCGTAGTTCATGTCGGGCTTGTTCTTGTGGAGGCCCCACAGCCTCGAGACGGCCTTGCTATCGACGAGCTTGAAGACCCCGCGCTCGCGGTTCGTCCACTTGATGTAGCGCGGACAGTACTCCCGGTCCTGCAGGAGCTTCAGCAGAAACTCCCAGAGGTAGGTGGTCGAGCCCTCGCGCGACTTTCGCTTCGCCGGCGAGCCGGCCGACTGCTGTGACTGCTGCTGCTGCTGCTGTTGGTGGTGGTGCTGCTGTGGGCCACCGGCGAGGTGGTGAGGCTGGCCGGTGGAGCTGCTGTCCTTGAGCAACTGGTGCTTCTTGAGTTTGCCCTTCTTCGCGCGTCCGGGGAAGCCGAGCTCCAAGAGGTAGAGCTCGTCCGAGACGGAAGAGCTGGCAGCTTGGATGACGCTCGTGGGCACGCCGCCGACCGAGGCGGCTGCCGCTGCTCCGGAACCGGCGCTCGATCCCCGGGGCGGTGATGGGGCACATGGGGCCGCGAACTGCGACGCCACTCCCCCGTACATCGAAGTCACGTAGCTGCTGTAGCTCTCGGGCACTGTAAATCGGACATTAATTAGAGTGGCTTTTTTTTTTTTTTTTTTTTTTTTTTNTGTTGTGCAGTGGCATCATCATCATCATTATCGAGCGAACGGAAGCGAGGACACGGGTAGAAAAAGAAGAAGAGGAGGAGGAGGAGGAGGAAAAGGAGGTAACGATGCGTTCGAGATCCATAATTCTGATCTCTATGGAATTAGAAAGCGAAAGTCGAAAAAGAAAAGGTTTTGGCACTCGAAGAGTAACTCGTAGATTTTTCGAGTATTAACGATGCGTTCGAGAAAAAAAGAAAAAAAAAAACATTTCTTTGTTGAATTAAATTTCTGAAATTGTTCATCAGGTACCAAAAAAATACAAAAGCTCGATAAATACGATTTTTAGAAAAAAAAAGTCGCACTTCAATGTATTTGCAAGGTATGCAGAAATGTAAAACTGTGAATGGAACCATTCGTATGAATATTTAAAAATTGACGCAAGACAAAATAACTTATTGACACTGTGTAAAGCGCCGAGACAAACCGATTTCGGGAGATAACGACGATGAACGTCGTGAATAAGTTTTGTCGAAAATTTGCGATTTCGTTAGTATGGGGATTGTTTCATTAGTCAGTTTTTTTGTCCAAAAAAAAAAAAAAATCATGTTCTCTACACATGGAAAAGATAATTGTGTTACTCGATTTTTATTCATACAGAGGTATACACGGTTTGT